AAACATATTTGAATACTTTAGAAGTCCTTTTCTTTTTATTCATTACTTCACATTGCAATAAGATGTTCATGAATGTAAATAGAAATTTACAGATGATTAAAAATTATTTTCCCTAAAATAGAGAAAAAATTCTAAAATTCTTGATTATTTCATTTAAATTCACTAAACAATAGATATAAAAAGAGTTAGACTAAATTCTTTTTATTTTCTTTATTAGAAGAAAATTTGTCGTAACATGAAAAAATTTATTGTTATTAAATAGTTTCTCTATGAGAAATTGTTACAATTTTATCAATTATAATTATTGATGTATTTAATTCAAAAAGCTTTCAGCGCAATCCCTACGGGATTAAAAATGTGAAACACGATGGAGCTTTTTATATTGTGAATGAAGGAATTTGGATTTTCTCTGTCACGGTCCGTGATGGTCTTTGGAGCCACTCTGTCACGATCTGTGATGGTCTTTGGAACCCCTCTATCACGGTCTGTGATGATCTTTGGAGCCCCTCTATCACGGTCTGTGATGGTCTTTGGAGCCCCTCTATCACGGTCTGTGACGGTCTTTGGAGCTCCTCTATCACGGTCTGTGATGGATACTGGATTTCTCTGTCACGGTCTGTGCCGGGTATTGGATTTCTCTGTCACGGTCTGTGATGGTCTTCGGAGCCCCTCTGTCACGGTCTGTGATGAGTATGGATTTTCTCTGTCACGGTCTGCGGGGAGGGGGGCCGGGGGGTGGGTCCAAATTTCTACCCTATACAATTCAACACTCCTTTTAGATCGTGTTCCACAAATTTTTTGAATATATTCTTTTATTCTTTGTAAAAAAACTGTTCGAAATAATTGACTTGTTAATGTATAAATATAAAATGATTTAACATAATTAGTATAATAGAGAAGTGTAGTAAATGACATTAAAAATGATCCTATTATTTTTTTATCACCAGTAAATAATGGTCCAAGAATATAATATGCATAATAAATCATTCGAGTTAAAATTAATAATGAACTTAAACCAATTTGAACTAACATCATCTAAATAATATTGAATAATATAAAACAAAAATTAACAAAATAAATATAAACAAATGTACAACAGACTTATTTGCTAACTAAAATCAATATTTAGAATAATAATAATAATAATAATAATAATAATAATAATGTTAAATTAAGAAAAAAAGAATAAGAAAATGAAAAACAACGAGCGAATAACAACAAGAGATTGTCTCAATTTTGATCAAAAGTAAAAATATCGAAAGTTGCAGTAGAGACTTCTAAATATAATCTCCTTCAGAAAGTTTCAAAAAAATCACGTAGCTAAATTCAAATTGAATGTTCATTATTGAAAAAGAAAGAATGAAAGACAAGCACAAATACTTTGAAATATTAGTTTATCGACCTTTTTGTACAATCAGAATCTTTTTTTTTTGGCTACAATAAGAGACAAACCGTTGAGAAGATCAGATGTTGTAATGAGATAATTATTATATCAATTACATAATGTGTTTCTTCGACTTTGTAATGCTGCTGCTGTTCGTCTGTTTTTCTACTTCGATGCATCAGAAGAACATTGAAGTATAAAATTCTGTAAACAGTTTTCTTTCAAAAAATTGATCAAATCCCGCATATTTGGTAGATTTCGATAAATACGAGAATTTATTCTATTATTATAACCTGCAATTAGGATATGTATCTTCTCTTCAGTCACATACCCATATCCCATAAGCCAAAATTGATCTTGCAATACTAACATCTTTCAGAAAATAATCTTTCTATTAAAATTTTATTTTCTATTTTTATGAAGTTTTTATTTTTTCGATATTTTTACTTTCGATTTAAGTTGAGTTTACTTCACAAGGCAAACCAAGATAAAGCGCTAGTAAGAATAGAAAAAAAAAATTCTGTTCGAAATGAAGAAATAAATACAACAGATTGTTTCTCTGACGATCGATTATCTTCGAAATAGAAATTTTTCACTTTACATATTTTTGTATTACTATAATGAAACTAAAGAATACATATGAATTCTATATAGTTTGCTCCAAAAAAGCTACACTAATAAACTTTTTCTTTTTTGAATTCACAGTTAGAAAGAACTTTCAACTTTGTAGATTCTAAATAGATATTCTTAATTTTTTGCAAATTTATTTACTTACTAAAATCAACTGTGCATCTGTTTTATGATAATTTTGATGTTGATTTTGATTAATATTGATGTGTTTAATTTCCATTTTAATTATTCTTCGTTGTCTTGTGTGTCTTATATTCTTTAATATCATGCAACCAAATATTAACATAAATATATGAGGAATAAGTCCAACCCAAAATACAACAAACATACCATCAAATATCGTATAAATACCACGTAAAGTAGCACATTTTGGTCGAAGATCATAAGAAATAAGAATATGTGAACAAGATATTAAACCAATTATAATAACAATTAGAACATTACGATAAGCTATTTTTATTTGACTAAATGAACGTAAATAAACATGAATTGATGATGACATATAACGATCAATAGCTGATAATAATATTAAATAAGTAGCAATTAATGGTATAGTTGTAACAAAATATGCACGAAATTTACAAAATATTCGATTTGTATGTTGTAAATTATAATCAAAATGATCAGCAGCTAAACGTGAAGTAAGTCCAAATGTAATTGATAAAAATTCAAATATAGATGAACAAAGAAAATAAAAAGCACAAGAATTTTCACGTAATTGTCGTGATGTAAATGTTAGAAAATTACATAAACAACCAATAGTACCAATAATTAAAAGAATAATTGGACCATAATATGTCATATGAAATGTAATATTATCAATTGTTGCTAAAAATAATGATGATGACGATAAATTTCTATTCGACATAATGACGTCTCTTTCAAGATTATTATTCTATATACATATATATATATATATATAATATTTAGATAAAATTTGCATTTAATCAAACATCTGTCACTATTCTCCGAAGCAAAAATGACTTTTTCTTTTTTTCTTTTTTATTTATATTGAATATCATTTCTAATACTCATAAATTACTATGAGTGTTTAGAACGCAATAAATTTTCAAAAGTAAGACGATAACAATAAATTATTAAACATTTTTCCTTTTATTTCTCTGGAGAAAATGAGAATAGTTGACAATCTCAAGTGGAATGTCCTTCAATTGATTAATTACTTTTCAGTCGAGACTATGTACGTCACATAGATTATAATGAGTTATAAATACGATCAGAAGATTGCACATGCTTAGCTTATTACGTCTGAGATTCTGCATTTTTAGAGTATTTTTTTAAACGAATATTGTTATCCACTCAGAAACATTGATTTTTCAATTTTGACTTGAAACTTTGCATAGCGACAAACCTTTATAAGAATAGTTTATTGTAAAAGTTTTAGATATTTTTATTGTTCCTATCTTGAGATACGGGTATGGTAAAAAGTATGTCTTTTACATCGTTCATATAAATCGACAGATTTGATGTTCTTATTTCAGGATAGGAACATATGACAAGACCTGATAATTTCATGATAAACTATTCTCATAAAGGCTTGTCTCTATGCAAAGTTACGAATCGAAATTTGAAAATCATTTTTTCGAATATATCAGTATCTTGGCAACACTAACGAGGAAACCTTCTCAAAGTTTTCCTTTTGATTTCGATAATTTTTTTGTTTATATATAGTACAAAATGTTCTGATGAAACCTCTAAAAGAATTTTATAGACCGTCTTCCATAGATAGTGTATATAACATGTATTTTTTGAAAGTTCTGTATCTTGAAAAGACTTTATTCAGAAATTCTGAATTTTTTTTTATGGAAGCTAGTCTGGTGGAGTTCTTTAGATTCACAATGTTTCAGATCAAAATTCGATAGCTCAGTCAAATCTCAATAGGAACCCAAATTCTTTTAGGATAAACTAAGCGTCCAAAGTCTTTGTAGAATATTCATAGTTCATTAGGACCTACAGGATGTAGTACATAGTCTCGACACAAAAGTAATTAATCGATTAGAAGACTTTCTTCGTAAGTTATTGTTTTATGGTAATGTCAAATAATCTTGATTACTAAACAGAAATTATATTATAAATAAAATATATAGAGACATTAATTTAGATTGAGAAAAAAAAATCTATAATTTAGTTTTTATTGAATACCAACAGTGAAAAACTCTCAAGATATTATTTTTGAATTATAGGTGCATGCAAAATTAAATTTTTTAGTAAGTTTTTCAACCAAATGCCTTGTCCTCTTCAGATATCCTTCAAAATTAACTTTTCAGTTTTGATTTCAAACATAACAGAGATCGAATTCTTTAACGGCATTAGTTAATTATGAAAATATCAGATTTTCTAGTATCTTCTATCCTCAGATAGTCATAATTGTAATTCTCTTATAAGAGCAAATAAACTTATTTCTTATCTGTATATCTATACGATTTTCTCTAATCTCAATAATGCTGAAATAAAAACAATTTGGTAACATCTATACATATGACTGAAGACTAGGAGGATACTTTTAGAATCATTAGACATTAGCACTTTTATATGAAATGACAATCTATTTGTTCAAACAAAATCAATTTATATAGACAAACAGATGTTTCATGTTTATGATACTTTTTCGATTTGAATCATAAGAAATTAATATACCAAAGAATAGTTCTAATCATGGTCATGATAAAACTTGATCATTTTGTTTTTTTTTTTTTGATATTCAATGTTTGATTCAAGATGAATAATGAGTGTACACGACACATATCAAATTGATTTTTTATTCATTTATGAAGTTCAAATAATAGAACAATTGTTCGTTTATCTATTGTAATAACTATATGAATTGATATTATTTTAAATTATTGATTATTCGATAATCAATCATACAGTCGACGACAATAAGATGAAAACAAGAAAGAATAAGTTAAGCTTCTTCTCAAAAAAAAAATAAAATCAATGGTCATCAAAACAATCAAAATTGAGATAAATGCATAACAAAATAGTCCAAGGTTTAATTCTTCATAAACAACATGATTTTCCGTTTTGACGTCTTGTTTTTTTTTGAAAAAATTTTTGATGATTTCCGTCACCTACTGCTTGAAAAAATTTCTTTTCTCAGAAAAAACGGGAACTCTTTTTTCCTCTATTTATGCTTTTCTGATCATGCATCTCTAAATTCTCGAATGTGCTCTATTGTAATCAATTGCTTTTGTTTTTGTTTGAAAAAGCATATGAAGATACAGTGCTGATTTTTTGAATTAAGTCTCGTTATTATTATATAAAAAAAACACTTCTATAAATAGATGAATGTTGTTTGAGATATTGAATTTGTCATCTTTTTTTGTCTGCATTAAAAGTAAGAATTTGAGAAAAAAAAACGGTCCTGTAGTTTGACATGCTCTTTTAAATAAAAAAAAAACTAAATATGTAGAATGATCACCAACAGAAAGTTTTTGTTTGCCAAATGAGATGCTTTTGACACTTGTTTATTGCGTATCTCCCGAAGACATCATGGTATAGGACTGGAAATTTCATGCAATTTAAATTCGTATCTTGTAACCGAGACGGGTTACCCTATACTCAGTTCGGAGTATAGGTTCGGGTGCTGAGCGTGGTCTCATACTCGGATCCGATCCAAAAATTACTGAGATTTCGACCTTACAACATATTTTTACTTTCTCAAACTGTTCGAATAAACGACGGTAAAGTGTCTGTTATTCATTACTCAAAAAGAATGAAACAAAAAGAAAACAAAATGAGTCTCTATTGGGATTCAAGCCTAGATAATATCACAACTGATAACTATCCAGACGCTTTTACCAACTAATTTATCGAGATATAATCTTAAATTCAATGTAAACTTTTCTTTTAATCTTTTCGAGTAATAACCGTAGTACCATCTTTTATTCGAATAATGAATACAAAAAAAGTCTTTTCATATACATTTTTATATATTTTTTTAAAATTACTGTTTATATAAAAGCATCGGAGTGAAAAAAAAAACTGATTCGATCATAAGTGAGCAAAACCTATACTTAGCGAAATTGGTCGAATTTCCTAGTAAATCCTGAATCACTTGACTATTTTATGAAATTTCAGATCATCTCTTTCTTTTTTTTGTTTCTGTTTACAGAAACAACGAAATAGAATACTTTTTCATATTAAATAAATATTTGAAAACCATACTATGACTATGAAAGTATCTGTCAAATGTCGATTAGCTGCGGTTGGATACCGAGTGTAGCTATTCGGATCCGAGCATCCAAAAAAACAAAAGTGCCGATTCCGATGCAGTTATGAAAAGTCATATCTGTGTACGATATTAATTTGAATGCAACTGTCTCAAGATCGATTTTGAAGGAAGAGGCTTAATGCAATCAAAATTCTATAGAAAATTATAACTCTAATAGAATTACTAGTTTTCTATTCAATATAGAACTTAACTGAATGAAACTATTTACGTAACACTAAATAATAATGTGTATTTATTTTCATGTTAATACTCATATTGCTATGAATAAATAATAAATCTAAAGATAAATCGATATATTTCACAGAGAGTCAATTTGAATCGATTAGAAAAGTTCTTATTTATAACTAATTATTCAATCTAAGAAATGATTAGATAACTGATAAAGAGAATTATATATAACGAATCGCATACGATTATTTTATTCATAAATCAATGAATATAGTCATCAGTATTTTTAATGAAATTATAATTTATATTTTGAATCCCTTCCATCAATATTTCATTGCCAGAATGTTGAAGTTCTGACATATAACAATAATGTATACTATTTTTAGATTGTTAGACTTCACTGTCACGATGACTCGTCTATTTTCTATTAGATTGAAAAAAGTGATAATGAGTATTTTTTTTTTATTCCTTAGAATTCATTTCTAAAAGTGTTTTATTTATTTGATTGATAATTCATTTTACCTTCTGTCCTTCTGTAGTGCAACTCGGCATCTAGGTTATAAAGAATTTCGTTTGAAAAATAATAAAAATATCATAAATATCAAACATATGTTATTAATTTCCTGCTCTTCTGTTCTTCTACTTCTTTGTCTTATTTCTACTTCTTCATTATCTTTTTGACCTACTTATATCTGAGTAATTTTATATATAAATATATCTATATTTTGATTTTACGCAGTTGGATAGACACATAATGATATTCGACTTTCTTTTTTTATCTCAACTATGTCATTGTTAGACGCATTTTCTTTTTTTTTTTTTACAATAGTTATTTATAACGAATTTATGAAATGAACTAGTTTTTGCGTGACTAAAAAAAAAAAGGAACCAAAGAAATAAAATGATATTAACATGTTGAAAGTTATACATCATAATTTTTTAAATAAGAGTATCGAATTGTGCAGACTAAACTCCATAAATGTATATTGTAATAAGTTATTTAATAACTTATATAGATTATTATTCAAATAAGTTATACTATTTGAAACTATTTCGTAATTTTTAAAAATTCAATGATGGAATATAATCTATATTTAACAACAATTTCATAATAAGAAATAAAAATCACGCAATGTTAATATTTCTCTCATAGGACAGACATCAATATTTCATGGTATTGTGCAATCAAGATAGATGCAAAATGCTAATCAACTACATATTATTATAATAAAAAAAAGCTCTTGATAATATTTGATAGTTTTATCTAAGAAAAATAATGAAAATATAAACTTCATCATAAGATTTAAGTTATATTTGTCTTTTAAGCTACTTTATAAATATCATGTCAATGAAATTGTATGTTCGAATTCATTCCTTTGCTAAAACAATTATAGTGTTGGTTTATTTTTTTGGATTTTATATGTTCAATTTAGAGATCAAATCGAATG